TGTTTTGTGTTAGAAGTGGTGATTTATCCAACTTGGGGGAGATGTTTCTGCCTGCAGGGAGAGGCTTGGTTGTGTTTGACTGCTCCCTTGTCCTCCCTTCCAAACCAAAGCCGTTGCTTTGCCCCCTGGCCATGCTCCTGACCTAGGTTAGTTCCTGCCATCCTTTCAGAGTCCAGTTCTATGATATTTGGCACAAAACAGAGCCTAACTAAAACTCACCTCCTCAGTGGTACCGTAAAAAGCTTTTCCAAAGCAAAATGAGAACTCTTGAAAAAAGAGAGGGCCTGCAAGTTTACACCAAAATATGCTATATCTAAACTGTTTTTTGACCTAATAGTGGGTAGATTTTGAATAATACCATGTGATGGATTCACATGTAGACCAAACAGTATTTTCCTATCTAAGCAGCTGCTCCTATTTCTATCATTTATACAGTACCAGCCTTCATGCATTCTAAGTGCTGGCCCATTTCCAGCTGCATTCCCAAGCAATCCCATAACACTCCTCCCAGTTTTGTTTGAAAGCAAGATTTCCTGGGCTTTGCTCTGCAGTTTACTGACTTCTCTTACGTGCTGGGAAACAGCTGCTGCCTTTCCCTTCAGGGCAGCTCCTTTCTGGCAGGTCACAAAGTAGCACTTGGTCACTCTTGCTCCTTTGATGACTAGAGCTTTAATTAGCTAATTTTTAGAATTGCAGTTGCAGGTTTGTGTTAGTAGTGTTGTTAATGGGGAAGACATTACTTTTTGTTGAAGGACAAATCTAGAATGTAGGCTTGAGCTCTTGGTTTCTATCTGCTCAGAGATCCACCTTGTTACACTTAGAAAAAACATACTGTAATACCTGAAGCTTTCAAACACCGTATGATAGTGGCACATACTGAATTTCCTGTACTTCGCTCCAGTTTTGCCCAGGTTTCTTGTTAATTGTACCACTCACATGTGCTTACCAGAAGGACATTATTTTTCACTGATACTGTAAGAATAGTTTCAAGCACATCTAGCTGACACAGTGCTTCTTCCCACAGAGCCCTCTGACACTTTCTCCTTTAAAAGCTGTGATAGCTCAGCTTATGCCACCGTTAATATTGTTTGAAATCCCCAACAGGAGGACAGTGGTGATAAGGACTGGGAAGCATGCCAGTCCTCTGAGAAAGATTTACCTGTTTTGATTGACATCCTAGGTGTGCTGGAGGGAAGGAGGGAGAGAAGAAAACAGTGAGGCACCTGGAGTGAAGTAGGCTGCCTGGGTTAGAGCTGTGTGGAATAGGATGGGCAATGGGATCCTATCTCTTGGATGTAGATTTAGATAAGTGGGGCCTTGAACATCCTTCTGAAAGTTGTTTTCAGGGCTGTGTGTTCTGCTTACCCAGGCAGGAACGCTGGTGTGCAAGTTGTGCTCCTCAGTTCCTGGTTCCTCCCGACTACATGTTCATGTTCTCCTCGACTCAGCTGATATCTTGATTATTGTCCCAGATCAGTAATTTAATTTCCATGTGCATCATGTGCATAATGATTGCCTGGGGAGAGATGCAAAATAAATAAATAAATAATCTTTTGAACAGGAAGAAAATCAGCATCATCTTTATTGTATGTTAGGAAAGGCAGTCCTCTCTGCTTCTTGTTGGGACAGCCTGGGCACCATTCAGGTAGTGTTTCTCTCTCAGAAATGGCTGTTTTTGATGTGTGGCAGAAAAGGGCTTACAGTAAAGATCATTAGTGCTTTTAAGGGTAAAAGGAGGTATGGAAACTCAGAACAGTGATTTCTGGATAGTGCTTTCATCTGGCAGGAGTTCCTCACGTTTCCCTTGTGTATTCAGATCAGCAACTTGGAAGGTGCAATCTCCCTCCCAGATCTTTGCCACTTGTGAAGTCCCAGCCCACATCTGAGGGGCTAATTTGGTCAAATCAATGTATTGCAGCCAGGGAAGAGCTGCAAATGCATGTCCAGCAATGTTATTTAATATTTTCTTTTCCTTGACCCTGTAAGCTGGTTGTCCTTGCTGAGCTGCAGCAAGCTGGTGGGCTGTATAATTGTGCTCCTGCTATCACACAGTACGATATTAAAGAAATAAACTCAGCATGCAGCTCTTTGTGCTTTTGAAGAATCGCTGTGGTCTGTCTGACCACAGTGCTGGTGCCCATTGCCTGGCCATGCTTTTTGAGTGCAGCGGATAATTTATTGTCCTGCTGCATGGCTTGTCAGAGCAGAACAGTGCATCCCTCTGAGTGCTGCAGGGCTGCTGCTGCCTGTTAGTGCTAAATGGTGAATATCTGTGTGTATTCCATGGGGGGGGGAGGAGCAGTGCGATCCCTGCGGGTTATTGTGCACTGCTCTCCCAGCATCTCCAGTAATTAAGCTCCCTTTAGGAGAGGTGAGCAATTACAGTTGGCTCCACGTCCTCTTTCAGCAGCAAAAGCAAGTGAAGGTGCTGTTTGTAAATAGGTTTGCTGTAGTCTGATAGCACCAGAGATGTTGACACCTAGAAACTCTCCCAGAGACTAATCGAAGATCCAGTTCAAATGAGTGACCTGTATGCAAATCTCACAGCCCTTCAGATCCTGTTCAAATCTCAATGCTATGCCAATGTAGTTTGTTATTCCAGTCAAACCTCCTTGCTGCTCCTCGCTGTTTTGTCCTTGCTGTGCTAAAACAAACCTGCTCCAGGGCTCCAGCCTGATTATGAGGACAAAAGGACGGCAGACATGCTGCTACCAAAGGGAGATGTGCCTCATTTTTGAAATGTAATGCAGAGTGGGTGGCTTAGAAATTCCTACAGTGGCTTCCTCAGGTCAAAAGGGGTCTTTCTAAAATTTTTGTGATGTTTCATAAAAAATGCAACTCGTGAGTTAGACTTTGAGGTGAAGACGTGTGCTGATACTGGGAGAACTGATACTGAATGTGAGAATCAGTGAATGGCAGAGAACAGCCAGTTCTGAAGGAAATCATTTTCTGAGTCAGGATATTTAACACATTGAGACTTGTGTTTTTTTTTTTTTTACTGGTTTTAAAGGGGAATTGTGAATACATGCTAGAAAGCGTTTGTGTTACTACCAGCAACTTAATTTATGATTAACTTGGAATATTTTTACATCTCATTTATTCCACAGTGATGTTCTGAGCAGCTGAAATTACTTGGTCAGCTTCACTTTTTGTTTATTTGTTAGGTTAGTGCCACAAAGGAATCTTGCTGAGAACTTCAGAAAATTAAAGTGGGATTTGGTCTTGAGGGTTTGTTAAAGCCCTTTACTTCTCTATGGCAAAAATAGAGTCTTATGATCCCTCTGATGCCTCTATATAACATTTAGAGCTCAAAATGTCCTTCATAAAGCTGTCAATATTCCCTTAAGTATCTTTTGCTCAATATTTTTTTTATCCAGGTCCGTTGCGTCTAGAGAAGTCTTTAACTGTGGAGATTTTGACACCACTCCCATAGTTCTTGGTTTTGAGTTACAGTAAGCAAAGTGAGATACGAAGAATAATGAGAGAAATGGATGCCCCATCCCTGGAGGCATTCAAGGCCAGGCTGGATGTGGCTCTGGGCAGCCTGGTCTGGTGGCCGGCAACCCTGCACATAGCAGGGGGTTGAAACCAGATGATCATTGCGGTCCTTTTCAAAATAGGCCATTCTATGATTCCATGAAATAACTGCATAACTCTGCTCTGTCACTATTTCCATGTAGCAGCACTGAGCACGGACTTTATGTCATGGGAATGCTGAGCTCTGACCCTGCAGGATCACAAAGTGCACTGTGTGGTGCCTGTAACCGAGTGCAGCCAAATGTACCACAGCAAAACCCAAGGCACTGCGTGTGGCCAGGAGGGTTAATCATTGCATAGAGACCAGAGTGCCAGCAGGATCGGGGCAGGTGGGGATATCTGGGAGGCCTGAAACGGCTCATACACGTGAAAGCTGGATGCTGAGGTGGCACAGAGGACAACATAGAGGGAAAGGAAGTGAAAGCAGAGAGGAATGGAAGCAAAGGAGCATAGTTACGTGGAGATGGAGGTGAAGGTCAAAGGTTCCGTGTGACTGGTGTGTGCTGGTGGTGGTTTTTAATATTTGAACGTGTTTCTCTAAGCGGCCCAAGGCTAAAAGTGCTGTGAGGAAAACCTGCAGCTGTAAAAGGAGCGAGCAACCTGAGGAGTGTCTCTGCCTGACAGCATTTACGTTTATTAGCATTTTTCCTGCACGTTCCCTCTTCGTTTAAGCTCCCTGGGTTAGGCCTGGCGCAGTGTGGCTTCCCGAGGCAGCAGGGCCGTGCTCCTAACTGCCGTCCTCCCTCACAGAACCCTGCTCCTCTCCCGCCGGCCCCTCAGCTTCGTCCTGCCGCAGGTGGGGCTAAAGCGGCCGAAGGAAAACGTAAGCGGTATTAAAAGCCGTTTCCGTGCTCGGGGAGGGGGTTGGAACTCGAGTTTGGCCTCCACCCGGGCTACCGCAGGAGCCGGTGTAAGGATAGAGGTGCGCGATCCCCCGGAGCCGTGAGGCGATGGCGGCGGAGAGCTTCCCGCCGGGTTACGCGGGGTGAGGCACTCTTTGCCGCCGGCGGAAGGAGCCGAGCGCCCGAGCCTGCGCGATGCGGTCTAGAAAAGGCGCGCGGCGGCGCGGAGGTGCGGGCAGTTGGAGCCGGGGCCTCTAGGCGCCGCGAGGGAGCGACGGCGGCCTGAGAGACTCCGATCGGCAGCTTCCCTTCCGCGGGGGCGAGGCAGCGACAGCCCCGGAGCCGCGAGCCGCGCCTGCCCCCGCCCCGCTGCATGCTGCCGGGCTCGCTCCCTGAGGGGACCCGCAGCCCTGATCGGGGCGATGGGGGCGGGCGGCGGCAGGGCGCGGGTCGGCTGAGCGGGCCCTGAGACGGCAGGCGTGCCTCACTTCGCGGCCCCGAGAGCCTCCCTCCCTTCATCTCCGCCCTCCCCATGCCAGACGGAGCCCCTCGCCTCGGAGACGCCCCGCAGCAGCCCCTTCGGCACGGGGGTGCGCGACCGCCCCCGCGCGATGAGAGGAGCTGCCCCGCTGTCCGGGGGCCGCCAGGAGCCGGGCGGGCTCCCACCGCTTCGCCCGCTGCCCTGAGGAGGCGGCCGTAGTGCCTCTGCCGGAGGAAAAAGCCGATTCCTTTTGTTTCCCCTTCCCATCCCGGGGCTTCATGCCCACCCCCGAGGGAGGATGGAGGTGGTGGGGGATTTTGAGTACAGCAAGAAGGACCTGATAGGACACGGAGCCTTCGCTGTGGTCTTCAAAGGTCGCCACCGTAAGGTAAACGGCGATGGGGCGGTTACACGATCTTGTGGGAGCAGCCCCGGGCCTCGGTGTGCAGCTGGGGGATGCGGTGGGGCCGGGCCTGCGGCGAGCTGCTCTGTGAGCACGGTTATGTGTATTCATAAGGAGATAGGGCAGCCTGGCTGTGTGCTCAGCTGTTGGGCCGCTCCTCGGACGAGCAGAGAGGTGCAGCTGCGGGGAGGCTGAGCCCTTTGTTTGTCAGGAGGTCGTGTTTATATAAGGAAGGGATCTGATGGGAAAGTGTCTCCTTTGGGTTGGGCTGAGGATCCCTGGAATTCAGATGGGTCCGGTTTCCTGCTGGATATTCATAGATAGGTGGTGGTTTCTTGGTGCTGTGTGAGTTTATGCTGGGCTTGGCGCCTCAAACGCTGTGCTTCCACAAAGCAAACCTCGACTTGGAGCCTTTTGGAGCATTGGGAGAGTGCTTGCAGCTCCTAGGGACACAGCATGAACAGAAAACATGAGAAACTTCGAAGCTTAACAGAGATGGTTATACCTTACACGTAAATAAGCATTATAAATAAGTTCAGTTTGGATATTAGGAAACATTTCTTCTTAGAAAGAGTGGTCAGGCACTGGAATGTGCTGCCCAGAGAGGTGGAGGACTCGCTGTCCCTGTGGGTGGTCATGAGATGTGTAGATGTGGTACATAGCAGCATGGTACAGGGCACAATTTTGGTGCCCTGACAGTTGGAGTGGATCTTAGAGGTCTTTTCCAACCTTAATGATTCTGTTAATAGGCAGTAAGCAGGCAGTATTTCTACTCAAAAACCAAGTGCTTGTGTAGTTTTCAGCTGTGGAGATCAAGAAGGATGAAGCTGGGAAGTCCTTAAAGAATAGAAGAAACTTCGTCATTGGGAGGGAACTGAAGGGCAAACGGGATGTGATTATTTATATTGTAATCTTTTTTTTTAATAAGTGCTTTTGAACTCATGAAAATGCAGTCTGGCAGCAGCTGGATCTTAATAGCTGCCTGAACTACTGTGGAATGAAATAGTTCTTGGTGGTGTCATGTGATGGAGTGATCAGTGGTGGGTAGGGTAGGGATGATCTTGCTGTTTCTTGAGTGCTTTGCTAGCTTCTTGTTAGTGGATAAAGTAGAAAATGAAAGCTGATAATACTTTTCTGTTTGCTTGCAGAAAACTGATTGGGAAGTAGCCATAAAGAGCATTAACAAAAAGAACTTGTCAAAATCACAAATCCTACTTGGAAAAGAAATCAAAATCTTAAAGGTATGTTAATTGCAGTGATTTTTAAAGCCGCTTTGCTTGAAAAGGAAAAGAGACTTTTGATGCAGTTCATTTTGGGTCAGGTGTGGTATCACTGTAATTGCTGCTTTACCTTTTGCATCTTTTATTTGCTTCAGACAAAATCCAGAATTAAAGGGGCCAAGAAAAAAAGCTCTTTAGTTTTGGAAATGGCCTCATGTTGAGGGCATGTTTTTATTACAAGGGGAAGGTTGCTGTACAATCAGCATCTGTGCTCCACTTATTGCACATACAGAAAGGTTTGTCCTTCAGGATGGGTAGTGTCACATCTTTCCCTGTAACAAACATTATAGCAGAGGTCTTCTATCATTCTTTATCTTTTATTTTCAATCAGAGATGCCTTGAGAACTGAAAGCGGTGTACTGAATGTGATTCCTGGGGCAGCCTTCCCGTTCTGAGTTAACTGACTTAAAAGTTCAGTGTGGCACTAATGAAGAAAATAAAACAGAACATCATTTAGTTCTAAAATTCTGTTTCATGGAAACATCTCCTTAGGTGTTCTTCTGTCATTTTCCATTCTCTGAACTTCACTACATCTCATTTTACATAGCTTTGCAGCAATAATCAGTGCTGATTTCAACGTTTGTGCTGTTTCTAAGCTTCTTGAGGTGCATTCTGTTCTATATGCTAGTATGTATGTTCTAGTTCATGTTATATGCTAGAAATAGTAGTGTTGGGTGTATTCATATGCTTCAAGTTCTTAGAAAGGAGACATACTTTTGTTTTAAGCAGTTGCAAATAATCACATGCAAGTTGTATTTGGTGTTATTTGGCTTGAATTTCATTTTATTGTAAAATAAGAGGTTGGCTTGAAAATAACATAGTTGGTTACTCCCATAGGGAAGAAATGTGTTAGACTATAAATTCAGCAGTCATTGAAGGATTTAGTGCTGTATTACTTTCTATAACAACACAGAGAAAATGAATTTGGTAAAGAAAATGGTATTTGACCTGTGAATAAATAGTGTGACTTCCTATTGCTGTGAGTACAGTCTAAAGATTTCGATCATCAGATGTAAAACTCTTTGAGCATTACCTGCATATTACATTTAAAACAAGAGCAGGCTATTTCCATAATACAAATACTTTTTTCTACAGGAACTTCAGCACGAGAACATTGTAGCTCTCTATGATGTCCAGGTAAAATACGTCTTGATGTTTTGTTCTTCATTAATTTTATTTATGCAAATACAAAGCATGTATATAGTAAGATATTTTTAAGTGGTCATGTATTTTCTTGTGACTGTTGTCACTTTGATATTTAGAAAAGGATATCCAGTTCCCTAGCAGTGGCAGGGGGGGCTGTGTTGTATTGGGCACATTACATGCTTGTTTTATATTGACTCTGCTTATCCATTGGGATAGCTGTGAGAAATCTGGTTTGCTTCCAGGCAGCAGGGGCAAGTGGGAGCCTGCTTATCTCTGCAGAGGGCTGTTTGTGTAGTCTGGTCCTGTGTGCAGTGAAAAAGCATCAGCTGCCTGGGCAGGGAGCTGGATCAGTGGCTGTGGCTGTTCTCCTGAATTAGCATTGTTTGCTTGGTTCTATACTTTAACTGGGAAGGAGGTGTTCATGGCTGGCGACTGAATGCACCCGAAGGAAAGTGTACTAGTAGGAGCTGATCTGAAAGGATGAGGCAAGTGACACTGAGAAGTCAACATAGCTTAAGAGGCTGTTGTAGAAAACCATCTCTACTGCTGTGGAGATGTCTCAAAGATAAAGAGATGTATTTTATAGCCCTTTGTCATGGTGAGGGAAAGCTGAAGGAAGCAGGAGATCATTACTATGCACGTACGCATTGCTGTTACTTAAATTGTGTTCAAATGGATGGCACAAAGTGTAAAAGTCAAGCAGATATTTGAATCTTTTCAAGTAGGTCAAATAAGAATGAGGTGACTGCTGGATGTTGTGTTGAGGGACATGGTTTAGTGGGAGCTATTGGGAATAGGTGAACGGTTGGACTGGATGATCTTTTAGGTCTTTTCCAACCTTGGTGATTCTATGGTTCTATGGTTCTATGACTTTGCACCACCTTTTTATTCCCAGGTTCTGTCTGACAAGGTGAAGGAGTTACTTTTCTAGCCTGCACAGGGCAGTGTATTCTATTAGCAGGAAGTACATTTCTCATATTGTGAGGCTTGCGAGCGCTGAGTAAAGCTAAATATGAGATGATGTGAGGTGTGCAGCTCTTTGTTCTATTTGAACCATACGTTTATCTCCTGGGCTTGATTCTCATCTTAAATACAGAAATACATTTATGAATAAAATTATTAAGAACCACCCTCGGGGCACTGCACAGTTAAAGCAATGCAAAATAGACACTTCCATGTTCTTCACCATTTTCTGTCCTTACATGTTTGCATCCTATAAGATTTTCAGCTTATATGTAGATATGTGTCTTGTGTAGCTGCAGAAAACTGTGTTTGTGGGATATATGCTTGGCATTGTCAGGTTTTACTGTGCACAGTGCTGTAGGACATGAATTAACTTCTGCTGACCTGTGATTCAAAGAAGTGGATTCATGTGGCGGCAGACTATGCCTCAGAACTTCCCATTTGGACTCTTCTCTGAGTCTTGACTTCAGAACTCTGCCTTTGGAATGATACAGCTGAGGGGAAAGTGCACTCTTGAAGAGACCTGGCCTTCCTGAGTAATGCTAAATGGAAACAGTGTTTCAGCACCCTAAATTTAGTACATCTGAACATCTTCAAAGAAACTGGAATTGTTGACTGAGAGTGGTGGTGTGTGAGTAAGCAGCTGAATTTTGGATTTATCATTTATGGTTGTTTATATGCGAAGAATGCTTATTAAGCTTTGCAGCTCAATCTGAAGGTAGTTGGTTAGATACATTGTGTTTTGATGATTTAACATTGTTTATCTTCTAGCTCTGCAGAAGCTCTTGCTAATTTTGATTTCCATACACAACACCCACAAGGGAAGAGAAGACAAATCTATGTTTTTGTTTATTTACCTAAAAGTGTTTTAGAAACAACTTTCATGCTTTTACTGCTCTGCCACAGGAAACGACGCCCTCAGAGTGGCACTCCCTTGTGAGTGTTTGGCCCTGTATTCTCCCTTTGAGAAGGGGATGTTCCTGCTTGTCACTGACCATTGCACTTCAATAAAAACAACAGTTACAGCAAAATGAAAGGAAGAACTCTCATATCTTGGATATATTTTGAATAGATTCATGGCAAACGTAAAGCAGTATGATGCTACGTCTATAGAAGAAATTACTTTGCAAAATATGGTCAAGAGAGTGTGATGCTTGCACAAATAAGTCTGTCTGCACGGGGCTTGGCTTGTGAAATATTATACATCATTAACTTACATGATTACATTGACTTATAACACAGCAAGAACGAGCACTGTGCAAGGCATTCACATGGCTGGTGGGTTGTTACACCTACAAATTTTCCTTAGCGTTTCATGTCCTAGCATGTGCTGCCCTTTTTGTTTGTCGTAGTGTTGTGAATGTGGACAAAATACAATAAGGTAAGACTTGAGGTATTCAGGCAACTGTTACAGTCTTTCAGACAACAGCACGTGAACATTTTATGCTGCTGTTGCTTCGTCCTAGGTATGAACACCACTCTGATACATTCCTTAGTATGTATGGAGCCATTTCCATTACTGGAAATAACCATTCATCTGGAGCCACCCCCAGATGAATTAGTACACCATTAGTGTTGTATATGTATTGGTCAGCATTAAAATCTTTTGTTCTGGTGCCAGCACAGTAATTGTCCTTGATTTCCCTAAGGTGGGTACATGCAGTGCTGATAGGTTTGACCTGCAGTTAAGCATTTTATGTAAGCAGAGCATTTTGCAGTTTGTGCCATGGCAGAAATCTGGGGATCTGCACGAGGCAGTCTGGAGATGCGTGGTTCTAAGGCTGAGAGTGTTTGTGCAGATACTTAAGTATGAGCTTTCCACTTATGAGAGGCAGATATGTTGCTGTAGTAGATCTTTGAAAAATAAACACGTGCAGCTCACCGCTAAAGGTGGAATTACTTCTTTTGTGAAGCGCAGTGCTCGTGCAGTAAATGCATTACAAAACAGAAGCTCTTGAGACATTTTTTACTTATCTTTTTGGGCAAGAGTTGGTATTCTTTCTTTGAAGAAAAAACCTCCAGAATTGCTGAAGTGGTATAAAAATGGCATTAAAATGAAGTTCTTTTTCCTATGAGATATCATTCATCCTGCAGAAGAAGAACAAAGAACGTTGGATCATATTAATTGGGGAAATGGGGCCTTGTTTCTCAAAAACAAAAAGAGTCTAAAATAACCTTTAACTCACCGGTATGAAGTGCATTGAGATCCATGGATAAAGTATTATACAGCAGCAGGAAGGTGTCAGTAAGTTATTTGGAATGTGCTATATTTAGGCCATGAATTTATGGGCTTTTTTTGCAGTTCATGATCCCGAGTGCATGCTGAGTAGAGCTAATCTCACATGGTGCCAGACAGTGCCTGTTTTAGCAAATAATTTAATTCAGAACTCTTTAGAATGTCAGCCATCAGAGTGAAAGCCTGTGATGTATCTCAGGGATAGTTTTTTAGAAGAATGAATTAATCTTCACTGTATGGAGTCTGAAGTTTGCTATTTGAACAGTAGTGTAGCAAGAGCTAATTTCTAGTTTGTTATTGGAAACAGTGTCTGAACAGAGATTGTTTCTTGTCTCTGTTGGCGCAGAGCGGACAAAACAGCTGCAGCTGCTTCTGTCTCTGAAGGCAGTGAAAGCAAGTGGGGGCCAAGCCAGCAATGCCTTGGTACCTATAGCTCTGCCTTTCCCCACATATAGGTGCCTGTGATTTCTTACCAGGGATGCTGGTGGATGGAATGGTGCCTATCTCCACCTGCTCTTTATCGATGTCGTTAAGGACTCCTGTTTGCTCAGCGGCTCCAGCTGGTCTGGTGGTATCATTGCGTGGTTCCTGAGGCAGTTGCTTCAAATGTTCTGGAGCATCTTCTTGATCTTGGTGTGCCACAACTCGTATTGCCTGTCAGCAGAGCTGGTTCTGAACTATCATTACTTATGCCTCAATTTTATTTTTTTTCTTAGTTTTTTTTTAATTATTTTTTTTTATTTATCAGTATCCATCCTTACCTGCATATGAAAAAAAAAAAAAAATACAAAATGTTATCCCAACCATTTTTCTGTGTTTATTCTTCCCCGCCAGGTGACAAATGTTTTCAGACTTAAAGGCCAAATATGTCCTTTAGAAAATGTAAAGGTTTTGAAATACTTTTCCATACCTTTCACTTAGCAAGTGGTGCAAAGTGAAAGGCTGACAATAAGATCATTGAGTGGCCAGGAACAACAGTAGCACGGGTGCTGAAGGTTAGGGATAGCCAATTAGCATTTGCTTTAACCAAACACAATTTACTTTCACCATCTCCCTTGCTTGTTAGTGAGGTACAGCATTTCACATACCAGGAAATGAGTGACACTGCCATTGTGGTACGTTTCCTGTGGCTGATTGCTCTTTTATGTGAACAATTGGCAGCATGCAACCTGTGAATCCTACAGGTGCACGTCATGTAGTCTGAGATTACACATTCAGTCAGAAGCAACAACATGTTCAGTTGTAGGAGCAGAACATGTTAGAAGCTGCTGCTGCAGTGTACTTGCAGAGCAGCATGAGAGTATCTGTAACACAATGAAATAATCTTAAGGATCTGGACCAGTCCATTTTCACTAAATCATTAGAACCTTTGCCAATTGTATCTAATGCTCCAAAAAATGAGGAGTGTCTCCCTGACCAATAAATAAAGCAACTACAGCACAAGATAATGTCAGGAAATCAGGTAGCAGCAGTGCATGAGCTGTCAGGTGAACTCTTGCTCCCTTGGGACTGGGATCATAAACTGCAATTAAATGGAATCCACAACCTTGGAGCAAAACCACAGTAACTGTCCTAGCACAGCTCCTCCTCCTGCAGCTCACTAAATGCTCATTGCAGACTTTTATCTTCTTCTAGAGGAGGGCTTTCTAACCAAAAAGCAATTGAGGGTATGTTTCTGCCAGTGTGCTGGAGTTCTAGCAGCAGCTGTCACAAGTAACCATGAATGTTTTGACTTCTCTTTCAATTAATGTCTTTTAAGTGGAACTACTGCACTGAACCTGTGATTTGGGTTGGAACTTCACATCCCCTGAGAGAACTGTGGGAAGTGTGGGATTAAAACACAGCAACTTTTGGCAAATATGTTGCCTCTTCATTTTTTTCTAGTAGGCTTACCTGTTGTTTCCTATTAAGCTTCTCTATCTTTTTACTTGCAAGTTGAAATAAAATCTGGATTCAGAATAAGAGGGAGCAAAAGTAGTTTTTTGTCATGAAAAATTTAAATAAATAAAGCAAGATATGCTGAGGAAAAAATGTTCCATCATTGTTTCAACACAACATACACTTGTTTTACTTGATTATTTTTCTAGGTAGAAGTATTGGCCAGAGCAGCTCCAGTTGCAGTAATTTTGTGATCTGTATATAAATGTAAATTTTTGAAAGCTTTGCTATCTGTTTCAAGAAACAGTTTAAAATAACTTGCTAGGTCAGCTCTATTCCTGAATGTTACATCTGAAATGTGGTGGTTTGCTAATCTTTTCCTTTTTGAGCACTTTTCTTCGCTTAGCAAGTCAACAGAAATTGTTCTTCTGGAGAATGATGATAGTGTGAGCTTTATTTTTCAGCAAAGTAATTCAGAGGAGAAAAATGCATCTGCAGAATTGCCCTGTGAGAATGGAGACCACATTCCCAGTCAGGCTGGCCAGCAGCAGTAATCTGAAATGGGAGCAACTGTGAAGGGATAAACAACTTCAGCCATTTTGAACAAAAGCTTCATTGGTGGGATATTGAAAAGTATGTGTGGGTAAGAGTTGGTGCTGGAGAGGAAGGGGAGGTGAGGGCTGCTGTGACAGCTCATCAGCTCCTTGTTTCTTAAGGGAGCAGCTTTGTCTGAAAGGACTTTGTTTCCAACAGAGTCCAGAAAACACATTCTCTTAGTTCTGAGATGAATAAACGTCTGTCATGAGCTGAGCATTACATACTGCTTTAAGCTGTTGGTTTTGTGCAGTGTGTTGTGTAGCTGAAGCACTGACGCTGTGGAACATCTATTTCTGATTCATGGCATTGCTATGTTTGGGTGGAAATCCAATAGCTGAGCTTTCTTCTTGTCACTGGAGAGCAGACAATTTCCATGCTTCTTAGCCGTGTTATTCTTTTACACATCACAGTTGCTCTTTAAGTGAAGTGGTCCTCAGCTTGCCAGAATTTTTGTTTTGGTGAATTAGGATCTCAGAGTATCAGCTGTGATCAGTTAGGAGGGAGGTTAATGAGTGGTGATAGCCTTCTGTTTTCTTGGTATCAGCTCTGTGTCAGAGATTTCAGAGCATCTGCAAATGGTGAATTTCTTCTCATGATGTCTATGTGTCAAGCTTAGAGCAGTAGCAGTATGTTGGAGATGGCAGTGCATGCAGGTGTCCTGGCTTCTTCCTTTTTTCTTCAACTCAAGACCAGCCTTTGCTGGACAAACTGATGAAAGTCATTTGGAATTGGTTTAAATAATGCTAGTAATGCTAGCAGACAATTTGGAAGCTGTGATTCCAGATGTGGATTGCTTTTTGGAATCCTTGGAGTTCCTGAAAGGTTGTGGGCTTCTGCCTTGGAAGAAATTGTCGCATAGGATGAATGTATTTTCAGTACTTTACAGGGTGGGTAGGGCTTTTTGTGGTGGGTGTTGGCTTTTGGTTTTTTTTTTCCCACTAAAATATGACCTTCCTGACAAAATGCACTTAGGTTTTGAGACTTTTATAGGATTTCAAATTATGGTTCATGTTGGCCACAGCTGTTAGAGAAACATCGAAAAATTAGGAATTGATGAAATGTGATCTGCTGCTGCTTTAGTATTCTATATTAGTTGGAGCTCACCCTTCATTCCCACCAGATTTGCCTAACATTCCTAGAAACTTGCTTTCTTTGAAGCTAATTTCAAAATGTAAACAAATCTGTAAAGTGCTTGAATGTTCTGAGCTGGGAAAATCCTCCAGAGGCTTTCTCCAATGCAGATGAGAATGGCTGAACTAAATGCTTCCAGAAATGAGGCAGTCTCCTATAATCTCAAATTAACCTTAAAATGTCTGATTCATCTCAAACTGCTTAAACTCGTTAGCTCCGAAGAGGGGAGAAATGGTTTTACTTTATCTAAGATCTCTGAACGTCTCCAGCTTTGTAGGCACAACGAAATGACATGAGAAACTAGAAACCATCATGTTTATTATTGACAAAAGCTCTTCACACAAAATAATGCTTGTTTAAGAAAAGGATTATTCTAGTTACAGTCAGACCTCGATACAGAGGTTCTTACTGCGTTCTGTGGAGTGTGTAATTTGCAGTAGATGTTAGCTCTTCTGTCTTTTAGTAACTCTTCCTCAGTTATGAGAGGGAATTCAGGTTGCAGATGGGTCAAAGGAGGTCAGTGCTTTGGAAAATCTCAATAGGACTGCTATATCAAATCACAGCTTTCCATAAAGCATTTAGGTCTGTGACATGGGCATGCTTCTGCCTGTGACTCATCGAGGGAGATATTTTACAGAGCATGCATGAATCCTGGTAGAAGCATCCTACAGAATAGCAATTGGGAATCACTCTATGCCAGGCACAACTGTGCTGTGATTTCTGCATGACCTTCAGCTGTTCAGATGGCAGAGCTTGTTTTACCCAGAAGGAGGGGACGTAACCCTGGAAGTCCTCCTGTAGAAAAGCGGTTTTTGCAGCTGTTTGTCTTGCTCACACTGCATCACAAACATATTCAGAAATATTACTGCCCCGTTACGGATTGGTTTCAGTGATGTATGACAGTAAAGGTGTACTCACTTGTTGGGGCTTTTCATGTAGAAGACGCCTTGATAGAGAAAGCACGAAGCAGATGAAATCGAAGGGAAATGTGAAAGATTATTTTACTTTATGCTGCTCTTATACTTGGTTAATGCAGGCATTGAGGGCTCTGTCTCGTCACATTCTTAAATGGCCTTTCTTCTGTTTTAGGAAATGCCCAGCTCTGTCTTTTTGGTAATGGAGGTATGTGTTTGTATACGTGTTTCTTTCTGGTTAATTTTTAAATACTTTTTTGGGGAAGAAAAAAAATCCTTCTTTGCTGCAAAATAACAGGTAATTCTGAAAACAAGCTTATTAATTTTCTGGGCAGTGCTGAGCTTATCAGCAGTGTTTGTACCATAAATTATTCTTTTATGTTCTATGGCACTGTAAGCATTGATGAAGCATTACACCTCAAACTGGTAATTACAAATAGTTGAGAAAACAAAATTAAATGGCTGGGAAGGGTCTTCTAACTGCAGAGGAAGGATTACAAAGTAGAAATTAACACAGAGGATTTCAGAGCTTGTGTTTTGAGTGAAAATCTTTCTTTTTAACAGTACTGCAATGGTGGGGATCTGGCAGATTACTTACAAGGTAATTGTTTCCTGTGTTACCTTATTAGGAAGCTCTTGCATTACGTGTTCACATTCTGTATTTGTGTGATCCACTGATACTTCTCTGAGTTCTTTGCTTGTGATTTCAATGTTTTCCTGTTTATGAAATGTCTGTAATTCTGCAGTGCCTGTTCTCCCTACTGTGATTTATTATTTTTTTTAGAGTACCCTCTTTATTAGATTAACTGAATGCACTGATCAGTTCCATATTAGCTGCTTGTAGGACTGGTTTGGAACCAATGCTGGGAATGTTGCATTCAGAGATTATTTTTTTTAAGGTAGAATGTGGATTTCTGGAAATTTTGGGGCTGTCCTTCCTGCTTTTCCTCTCTCCTCAGAAACATAATTGGAAAGAAAGTACAGCTCCTGTATATTACAACTTTCTGGTTGATCTTCAAGGTACTTGAACGCATTTTGTGATGCCTGCTTGGTCTTAGCTCTTATGGAGGTAGGAAGACAAGTGCTTCAGAACAGCAAAGCTCCAATCATGCGTGTTAAACCAGAATTGCTTTGTCCTTTTTGTCACTCATAATTTAAAATAAACACCATTAAACTTGCAATGAAAGCGAGTAAAATGATGCACAAACAAAAAATGCTTCTTGCTGCTATTTATGAACTGAATGTGACATTCCCATATTTGTAAATGAGAGAGATCCATATAAGCAACATGCTGAAAAAATGTGACGAGTCTGTTTCTGGAATCACATTTTGGAGACTGGTCCCTGTGTTTGATTCCACCTGCTTTCTTTCTCACCCTTCAAACTAATCCTTATTACAAAGAAAATTTTAAGCAGCTATGTTAATCTCCAGATTTTTTCTGACAAAAATATTCTTCTGCTTGCCTCATGTCTGCAGTATGGTGAAGGAATCTTTTTGTGAACAGCCATTGTTATGGTAACTGTGTATATTAAAAGCTTAATTCACTTCCCATTAAAATCCTTGGAAAGACTCATCCAGCTCCTGCATCCAGTGCTTTCTCATACTGCAGCTTGAGCTAAAACCTTCTGAAGAGACTTTGAAAAGTGCATCCTTGCTTTTCCCCTCAAAACAAATTTTGTCATGGATTAAATTTCTGAGTGGACTGCTTTCTGCATCCCCATAACAATTTGTTGAAGGAAAAACTGGGTTTTCAGCTTCAGGCTGTGATGTGATTTCAGATAAACTTAATGTTGCAAACTGGAAGAGTTCTTTAATGTTCCTGACTCCTGTGGTTCTTTGCCTTCTAGAGAGTTTAGGATTTAATAGTGGTTAAGATATTGTAGAACTATTATGCTACTGGGTTGAATAAACTACTGTAAAAGCAGGTAATCCAGACTACAGTAACTGATGTGAAACTATGGAGATGGATATGTTATGTAGAACACAAGTCTTTGTAGAAGAAACCTGGAAATTGGATTATTTTGAATAAAATCCACTATGATTTGATCGTCTGAATTGTTTTCACAGTTGATCACTATGAAGTTTATTTTCTTATTGACCAAATGCTTCTTTTGTCATTTGCTCTTGTTTCTGTTATTTTCAGCTAAAGGAACTCTCAGTGAAGACACCATCCGAGTGTTCCTCCAGCAGATTGCAGCTGCTATGCGTATCCTGCACAGTAAAGGAATCATTCACAGGGATCTTAAACCACAGAACATTTTATTGTCTTATGCCAGCCGTAGGAAGTCAAGTGTCAGTGGCATACGCATCAAAATAGGTGAGTACACTTTACTCTGTGTGTAAAGAGTAAATCATGGTGTGAAGGTAAATCATCACTATTTGGTGGTTTCCTTACTCAGAGAGCCTCTTTGTGCTTAAAGCATAGAGGCTATATTGGCTGTGTTACATGTTAAATTGATGTTAATCAGGACATAGCCCAGAACGATCAGCTTAATGCTGTGATGTGGATTTCCAGTGTGGAAAAAAAAAATAATCTTGACTCATAAAGTCCTTTTGGGTCAGCAGAAAAAGGCTGTTGCTGAAAAGCTGATGTTTCTGGTACTAACTGTATTAACTAGGCGCATTTGTCAACTTTGAAATGCTGAGTAGCCTTTAGTCCATTTCAAAACTGCTTGCAAGGCTCTAAGCACAATTCTACCTGGGCTTTCCTGTTGTAGACCTTCCCAAGAGTTTTTGAGAAGTTTTAGACATGTAGCTTATAACCTATATTGTGACAGGAGGAGGTTCAGCATTGTAACTGAGAGCTGTTAGTTTTAAAGATGCTGCCAAGCTGCAATTTATGAGGAACTTGGGAGTTTCAGTCTCTCATTGCTCTCTCTGTTATGTGCCCATATAAAAAGACTTTGGTTTTGGCATGTTTCTTCTTATGCTTTTTTTTTTTTAAACCAAAGTCTGAGGTCTGTTCCAACTCAGTCCATCTTCTGAACACCACAGAAGAAACAAAATTTATTTTACTGCTCTTACTTAATAACTTCAGATACTGTTCTCTATGTAGAAAATTCAGGCATCTGAAGCTTAATTTCTAGAACTTCTTCCTGCTGTGATGTCACTGAAGCATACAGTATGCTCATCAGTCTTAATGAACCATTTATCTTTAGAAACTGACTTTAATCCTTTCTTACTGATGCCAGGCAGCATGTTCTGCAGCTGGGGAGATGGCTGAGCAGCAATTTCTACAAATGATGCCACTGCTGCTTTCTTGTCTTGCTATTTGGAAGATAGTACATTATTCTTTCAGTGTTTAACATAGCTTTTGCTGTTCCATGAAGATGGATTGTACCTGTTTTTAGCTCTCTCACTGATAATTGTAGCAGATTTCAATAAAAGATGATCTCTAGATTACAAAAATTTGAAAATTGTCTTTCTTTTTGTTGACAAATGTGTTTCTTTCCACAGCTGACTTTGGTTTTGCTCGTTATCTGCATAGCAACATGATGGCTGCAACTCTGTGTGGTTCCCCAATGTATATGGTGAGTGACTGCATTTCTCAATTTGAAGCTTAGACCTTCTACTACCAGAACAAAATAGTTGACTGCTGGCAGATTGGCAAATGCCTGAGGTTACTTGGAATCGTTAAGGACAGCATTGTAGCTTTCCATTCCATACTTTTACTAGTTCCCCTTTTTCCTGTGGTTTAGAGATCATGATTGTTAAAAAGAAATGAGGGGGACACTGAGTGTTTTTAGTGCTGTTCCCTTTTCTCTTAAGGTGTTCTCTATGCTTCCCTCACCCCCTTTTTCCTTTCTAATAAACAATTTGGAGTTGCTTGCCATTATTTTTTGCTAAGTGGTGGTATTTATTTCAGCACTAAGATATCTGTCTTTGCACTGCCACTCCTGCATTGTGTGGTCACGGGAAAATCACTTTGTTTTCCCTTGTCTTGTTTTTTATGTGTGAAATGGTGATGATGGTATTCCTTGTGAAATCCTTGCTTATTTATCTACAAGAAGGACTGCATCAACCAAGTAAATACTGCTTACTTTGTGTTCCCATACATGCAGATCATTAGCTTCTTTCTTTAGAACATCAGCGTTCCTAGTTTTATGTTTCTGATACGTAACTTTCATCTTAGGTAGTGTAATATAATTACCTTTCAAGTAATGATGCAGACTAAAATCCTTTCATTTCCTATTAAATATTTTAAATATTTTACTCTTTACAAAAAGCTGATCTCTTAATACCACTCTGACAGAAGTATTGTGTAATTCATATTGTTGTGGTTTTGTCTTTTGCTTTGCCTTCTGAGATCTTCCTGTACTTTCCAGGCCCCTGAAGTGATTATGTCTCAACACTACGATGCTAAAGCAGATCTGTGGAGTATAGGGACTGTGATTTATCAGTGTCTTGTTGGAAAACCACCTTTTCAGGTAACACTTTCATTTCTGTTTCCCTCTTTCTATTACTCTTTACAGTATCATGGAAATTCCCAGAGCTTTTCCTTCCAGGCATGAAAGGAAAACAGAGTTAAATAGGGATGTTTGAATGCTGATGCTTGAAAGGCCAGATAGCCTGAGGATACCAAAGGGAGAAATTGCTTGTACTTGTATTTTGTGTTCAATCTAGGGCAAATGCAGGACACTCAGTACTGAAATCAGTGCTGTGCTTGGCGTATGTGTGCATAGGTACAGAAGCTACTTTCTCTGCTAAACTGAACTATAACTAATATGCATTTTTATTTGACAGGCCAATAGTCCTCAAGATCTGAGAATGTTTTATGAAAAGAACAGGAATTTGATTCCTAGGTATGTCACCATGATCTTTCCTGTCGCTTATGTTTGTTGATTGAACACTTTTTCCTCTTTGAGAATGCCTGGGATGCATACAAATATTCTGTGTTGCTGTCTTGATAAGGAAGCAGTATGATAGCAGTGACTCTCATTGTGTCTTACCTTCACTACATTGCTGAGTTGAGTATCCTGTACTAAGGTTATGTAGTGAAAATTTAGGGACGTGGTAGAATGCTTCCAGACATTTTTAATGCATTATACATTATGTAATATATGTGTGAAAGTTAATGCATGGTTAAATTCCTTTTGTATGCAGCATACCTCGAGAAACATCAACTTACTTGGCTGACCTGCTGTTGGGTTTGCTTCAGAGAAACCAAAAAGACAGGATGGACTTTGGTACGTAACTTTTCCTTTTGCCCTCTTGTTTTGACATGTTAGTTGTATACATGTGACCAAAGCAATTGTCCTCACCTTTTGTCTACAGGCTGTAACATGAAAAAATGAAGTGTATTTTTCTTCTGTGTTACCGTAAAAGAGGGCTGTAATAAAAGAAATAAACAAAAAGCCTCAACAACAACAAATAAACATTGTTGGTTAATGACTGACAGTATTAAATGAAGCATATAAATTATTATTTTGTTGTTGAGAAGTGAAATACAGTTGTGGCCTCCCTTCCGTTTACTGATATATCTTAAATTTTGGTGTCAGTCATTTTTGCTGCTTTTATTATTTTATCCAAAATCAGACAGGTGCTATATGTTATGTTTTTCATGGTAATTGTTTAAATTAATTTGCACAACTTTTTTATTGCGATTTTATCCCAAACCCCAGGAAATGTTAATCTTAAACATTTAGCTGAATAAAATTAACTTGATATAAAACAATGTGTTTTATATGGAGATTTGTTTTAGCAACAAGGTACAAGATGCTTCACATTTAATCCGTGGGATGGTGAGAGGGAGCCTAAACTTCAAATCTCTTCAGGCTCTTTGTAGATGAGGCAGACTTCTCTCCTTCCCTTTACTATTAGGTCTCATGATGCTGAGGTCCTTGGCTGGATTACAACCCTGAGACGTGCTCAGTTTCATTTCTGCTCACAGAGGTTCACATTGCTGTTTAGTTAAGCATGCAAGCTTAGTTTTGTTGCAGTACTGAAATGCACAAAGTGTCTCGTTCACTTGTGATCCTTGTGTAGTTGTGAGAAGACTATGTTCAATAGGCTGAGGAGAAAGGAGGGTTTGAAAGGTATCTGGGATGTCTGCTTCAAGCCTTTCCTGATTGCATTGTTTTAAACTTGCCAATTGCTGATATGTTTTGCTCTAAAAATGTCAAACTTTGACAAATAATTTGAAATTAAAAGCACCGATTCTGGAGTAACGAAGATGTTGCTGCTTTCTGATAATCAGGCGTGGTTTTTTGTGTAGGTGTAACTTAAGTAACATGATATAAATGCTATATATTACTGTTATGTACTAGTATATATATAACAGTATATATACTGTTAGAAATTAGATATAGGAAAAAAACTCAGAGTATTTGGTCAAGATATCCTGGATGACTCTGGCAGTATTCAGGTGCCAACTTTTAAATTTGGGAAGAAGAATTAATACGTCACAAATGTGGATTTTGAGTGATGGATTCCACCTGCGCTCTTGGCATGCTGATCTCCACAGTTTCTTCAAACCTGGGAAATTCACTGTAACATTATGGCAGTATGAGAATGCGTTTGTGCTAAGAAAGAAAAACAGAAAGCAGAATGGTAGTGAGGAAAGTCATGTTTCCCTTGGCTGAGTCGCTTGAAGGGCCTCAAAGGGGCTGCTCTGGAATGTGCTTAGCAAGGGGAGTGAAAGGGAGAGCGTATAACTGAGCCCTGTTGCCTGTTGTTCAAGTGAAAAATAGCATTGGAAATCTTGCTTATCTTTTAGTGATATCAAGAAGAACAGCAGGTGTTGTAGAAAAGCTCAGAACACCTGATCCTTGTGTTAATCATTACATTGTTCTGGTGTTACTGCTAGCCTCTCTCCCCTATCAGTTTGTGGAAGAAAGTGTTGTTGAAGGGAGGAGAGTGCAGACCAAAGGGTTTTTTTTGAGGTGTTGGCTTGTTTTTTTTCTTTCTTTCTTTCTCTCCCTTGTTATTTGCTTAGGTCTAATAAACAGTGTTGTTTTTCCTCAGCTTTTAGAACATTAAAGCTCACAAAGTTCAGCAGTTAGGTTCCACTCACCATCAATTCTCCCTCACTAAGGTCTCATGTTTTAGAAGTTTCCTTGTGAACTGTTGGTCAACTGGTTATGCTAACTCATCCATCTCAGAGTATCCATTTACAACAAAAGCAAACATTTCTATTGTTAGAACAATAACAAGTTAGCTAATGAAATTGTTCAAGAAAATGGTGTTTGCCTCTGCTTTAAAATGAGCCAACTGCACAGGTTTCTGTTCTTCCATAGGGAATTTGGAAGGAGAATGGCTGCTGGTCTGCTGTGATCTTCAGCCATTGAAGGAGTAGCATTAAATAATTTCAAAAATAAGCGTCGTTTTTTGGGAAAGGCAGAAGTGAAAATACTTTCAGTGTTTGATGTGAAAGATGTTCTTCGTTTTGAAGAGCAAATCAAAACCAAATTTGTGCCATATTGTACATAGCAAACATAATTTGTTATGAGTGTTGGAGTTCCTCTTGTGTACATGAACCTTACGTTCAGTTACAAAATGTCCTTTAGTGATTGTATCTGATTTGTCCTGCTGGCTGTTATTGGAGGTTATTAAATTAATTTCATTTCCTTTCCAAATGCTGTACCAACATGTAACATGGAAGGCTTTAATCTGTTGCAAGCTTTTCATCCTCTGGCTATGAAATATTGATTCTGGGAAGGCAACCATTTACCACTGTCTGCATTACAGTCTAAAAATTGTGTCATTTGTACATGAATTCTCAATGGTGGTTGTTTCTTGTTCTACAGAAGCATTTTTCAACCACCCTTTCCTAGATCAGATTTCAACAGTCAAAAAATGTAAGTAGCTTTGGTTTTTCATTTATTTTTGTAAATGAATGTTGGGGCCTGGAGGGGAATTAAAATCTGCCGTATTCCTGAGATGTTTTCTTAAGTCTGACTTTTACATTCTACTGTGAGCCTCAGAGTTGAATCTTTTTCAGTACTATGCTGTGCTGACACACGACTCTCATTCCTTTCACATTTCAACTTAACTTAAAACCCATGTGTGTTTAAGGATACGTGGTGTTTATACATTCATATGAAAGTTTATGGATGAAAAGTAGTGAGGAAATGAGTTTGTTTGCAATTCAGGCTTTCAGAATGCTAAACCCACGTTTTTGTTTGGGTTTTCCTCTTTTAGCCTGTCCCGTACCAGTGCCCACATACGCAGGCTCAGTCTCTGGCAGTTCCTGTGGCAGCTCACCTTCCTGCCGTTTTGCTTCTCCTCCAGTAAGTTCCCCCTTTTACAAAACAATCTCTAGAAAATATTTTCTGTAATGTTTGGCCAAGAATTAGCTCTGTAAATTCTTGGACACGGAATAGCTCTCAAGTAAACCACTATCTTTTTCTAGAAAAATTGTTAATGTTTTGGTTCTGTCTTGTTTCTTGTGTTGTACTTTATGGGTGGGTTTTTTTTGTTGTTTGTTGTTCTAAAGACTTAAAACGTGATCCAGAATGTGAACTTCTTTTGTTTATTTGGCCTATGGTGGTGATAATTCCTACTTCAGAGGCTTTATTCCGAAAAGAGCAATTTTACCTTGTGAATCAATAGATTTGTAGCAGAGGTTTCTTACTCTCCCTGCTTCAGTCTCTTCCAGACATGCAGCATATTCAAGAAGAAAACTTGTCTTCCCCTCCATTGGGTCCTCCAAACTATCTTCAAGTGTCTAAGGACTCTGCCAGTACCAGTAGCAAGAACTCTTCCTGTGACACAGACGACTTTGTTCTTGTCCCACACAACATCTCTTCAGACCACTCATGTAAGAACCTTCCCTATTTTTACATTTTAAAACAGTTTTCACTGATAACATATCTTCGTCTAGCTATTGTTTGTCTCTCTTTTCTCTAAATATGTCTCAGTTCATATTGAATCTAGTTTATTCACTTTTGTTTACTTTTTGAAGGAAGGCTATTTGGTATTTGTCCATGTCCATATGGGACATTTTTATCTGCAACCGAGTGACCAGATATGCCAAGATTTTAAGTCGTGCCCGTTTTAAGTCATGGGCAGTGTTGGACTTCGGCAGTAGAGCATTTGTTGTAGGTCACATCTGAGGCATTGTCTTACGCAAAGCAACTTGTAGAAAACTTGTATGTGTTCACAGAGGTTTGTCAGAGGTTTTTATTCTTATATCAGTAATACTGGAGAGTTTTGTTGTTTTTTTTTTTTTAAGATTCTGCCTCATGATGTGGGTTTTCAGTGTGTTCTTCTTTTTGCTGTAGATGATATGCCATTGGGAGCAGCTGGCAGGCGGGCTTCGAGCGAGTTCTTGATGTGTGGAGGGTAGGTGTGCTGAGCTTCATCCAAAAAAAGTCTCATGTTCTAAAACGGGTACTGTAGCTGCAGAAGATGTTGCTGGGCTTTTTGGCATTTGATGGATTTACATAGCTGTGAGTGAACTTTCTTGAAGATTAATACAGCAAGTTGAATTTAATATGAATGTGTCAACAGCTTAAATCCAGAAAGCTTTGCTGCAAAGCAGGTAGTTTCTCTGATGTGAAGAACAGCCTGTTTGACAGCGTTTCTTGTTTTCGCAGGCAGTCACCATTAACTATTTCTGGAAGCTCAGGAACTGTACAGAAACCATCCTCAACCTCTTCTCGAAGTACTGCTTCTGGTACAACTAACAGGTGTGTGATGGAGGCTTAGTATTTCCTTTTTAAAAAAAGGTTCTTTGTTGTATGTTTGGTTAGTTTGTTTTTATTGTGGATAACTATAGGAAACTGAATTGAAATGGCTGCACTTAATGCAATGTAGTGGCTGATGGCTCCACAGCTGACTTCTGGTTCAGATTCACCCCAAAAAGATTTCCTTGAGGAAAGTGAGCTTTATTCTGGCTGATTGTAGCTTGAACTGTCTAACAGTTCTGACAGAAACTTCAGAAACAGAATTAATTTGTTCTTTTTGTGTGATGAAGCATGACATGTTCCTTGTTTACTGAGTCAAGATGTTCAATGTAGTTGACTTTTCGAGAAGTAGTTGTGAGAAAAGAGGAATTTAAAGCCCATTTTGCAATGGGTTTGTGTCTCATGCATAGACTGTCTTGTGTCTTCTAATTGCTTGCAGAGATATGGCTTCTGTGAAAGCAGTTATTGTGAATTTCACATTTGTGGCTTGCAAGATACCAAAGAAGCTACATGTAACATGTATTGCAGCTTTTTAATCAGCAGGGCTATTTAACAAGGGCCTTTTCTGCCTCATTGAAACTTGAAACTTGCAGACCAAGTTTCTAATAGTTCAAAATGAATTTTATCAGTAGTGCTTGATATCTTTCATGGATTATATTGGAAACTTGATTCTGATCTTTAGCTATTTATGTAAAGGTAAACAGAAGGCGTAGATTTGTCATTTGACCAAGTAATAAATTTCATGTTTTCAGTACAAAATAGAGAGTGAGTGACTAAATGGGGAATAAAGCTCTTATGCTGGGTGTATTTTTGGCTTACACTACAACTATGGAGCTGCAAGTCAGCATTATTTGTTTAGAAATGCTTGTCACAAGAAAAGTTTGCTACTTTGTGCTGATCTTTTTGCAGTTTGTGAAAAAGCTGCTGACAGGGGTTGTCAATGAAGCTGTGGTCTTACGTTGTGTGTTTAAGGGCAAAAAGTCTGAATTGTTTGGTTGTGAAGATCTGTTTGCTCTGGATTGACCGTTTACAAAAAAATGCATTGTAATTTTTTAAGTTGTTACTCATCACAGTTTCTAGAATTACAGCTTTTATGAAAACATGCAAGTTTTATTTTCTGTATGTTACTAAGTAAAGAGCTAAATGGTTTGTGGTTAGAGAACAGGTGCCTACTGGTCACATTTTCAGTGGTTGTACTACAACAGTTTGATTGAGTTATTGGTTGAATAAATGCAGACTCACTGCTTGGGGCGTCATCTCAAGGCAGCAGTGTCTGCATCTTGTATCTACCAGATGCTTTGGGATTTGGTTATTTTTTGCTGTGAAACGTTCTTCCCTTGTGTGTCGTTGTTTTCAGAATGTTGTTCTGCCCTGTGAAACAGTGAATTTTTCTGATTAGCTGATCAAACTGTATGAATTGCACCCATAATTAAGCTGCTTTGTGGCAAGTGGAGGAAGCTGTGATGCTTCTCAGGCTCCAGGCAGGATAAGTGGAAGCAGTTCATTCCTCTGTGGTTAATTCCTACTTTTATTCTCTATGCTGAGACACTCAGTGAGCACGGATTTAAAATCAGTGGTACTTGTGAGGCTGCAAAAAAGTGTTGGTACAGATTTATTCAGATCTGACTTTCAGATAACTAAATATCTGGGAACTGGGTGGCAATAAAAGGACAAATTGTGTTCTTTTGCTAAGGGAGAACTGTGTGTATGAGGAAGTTGTATTTCATTTTCAGAGGTTGCAAAGGGAGTGTGACGTAGTCATAAATCCACAGTTCTGTTCAGCTGTATCCACGTAGTGGTGTAACTGCTTGTTTTCTAGAGCTCGTGGTAGAACTTTTTTCACATCTCCTCTGAGAATCTCTAATCTTTGCCTTTCTCTTCTCTGAAGTGGTGATCAATAAAGGGCCAGATACCAAGCTGATTATCTTCCAAGAAGTCCTTGAGTTTGAAATCCTTTTTGTCTAGCTCTTTTAAAAGTGTTGGTAACTGATTACACTGTGGTGGTTTCATTCCCTTATCTGGCAGTACACTGAGGTGAGCCAGGTCACTGACACATAGTTGAACTTGGGTAATACTAATCTGCAGTTTGCGTCTGTGGATTAATGTTCAGGTGTGTGGTTTTGGTCGTTTTGTCAGGGGTTGGTTACATAACATGTTTTCCTTTTGCAAGTTCACTCTGTCTCATGGGATATCTCGGCGCTTTAGTGGCTTTTGTACACATTCCAGCCCTGCTGCTGAACTTCCTGTTCTTAGTGCAGTGGGTTTTCCTAGAACGCTATTTTGAAGCGTTGTAAACAGAGCAGGCAGATTGGCAGGAAGGTGAAGGGATCTGTGGATTGCTGTGATGCATAACGAAGTGTACAGCACTTCAGCCTGTGTAAGAAAGGCAGTTAGTAACAAACAGATCTCAGCCTTCTGCAGAGTGCCAGAGCTAGACCAGGACAGGCGAAGATATGCTGCGTGCATGGAGCATGGGATCAGATTTTCCACTTCCCAGATTTTCTTGAAACTTTGAGGATGGTACAATTCAGTGAAAGATCTGCCTACCTCTGTTCATCTCCTCTCTTTGCACCTTCCAACTTCAGGCATTGCCAGCCTTCTGTATCCCCTCGCAGCGAAACAGCACCTATCCCAGTTCCTACTCAGCTACGGAATTACCAGCGTATAGAACAGAACCTCTCCTCTACTGCCAGCCCCGTGTCAAACCCCCACGGATCACCAAGGTGAGTTTTCAGACTCCTTTTTCTTGGTTCTGGTAGTATTTGTACCCTACAGATATCTGTGCTTTCTTATTGATATCTTTTTATTTTTTTGACAGTCCCATAATAGAAAGGCATTTTAATGAGAAATAATAGTCCTTCACAATCTCAAGACTGTTGAATGGGCAGTTGACATTTTTCAGTAAAACAAGATGATCTTGTTCCTTTGCTCAAATGCAATGCAAGAGAATAAAAAGATGAAGCTTTGCTCTTTCTGATTTCTCTTTGTGTAATATGCAGTGTTACATCATAAACTAGAAAGTCAGTAATAAGTTAGGTTCTGTTTTCACACATGCAGTGATGAGTTGGATGCATTGTTTTGTCAAATATCAAGGAATCAATTTTTTTTTGCATGCTAATTAACTAGCTTGTCTTAATACAAAGCTCCAGTGTGCTAGATTTATTCTGTGCCTCGCAATCAACAGGATTGGGGTGGTAAAGGTCAAAGACTCAGAAACAGACTGCTTAGAACTCTGGAGTTCTTTACAAAAACACAGTTCCTTCCTTTTTTTAATTTTTGTCTTCAAGATCTGATTTTGCAGTTGTTTCTGCACTTGAAAAAGTGCCTTTCTGTAAAATATTTGTTGTCAGTGGCTGAACTTTATTCCAAGTCTAATACTTAAAACATTATGGTAATTTTTATTGTAAATTCCTTCCTTTTCCTACCATAAAAACAAACATGTATGTCAATGTGTTCCACTCAGTAGTAAAATTCATGTAATGTCTGAACAGCAGGAATCCATTTACTGAGAACTATTTAAAATTTCTACAGTTAACAGACAGGCTGCTGTGACTTAAGTTTCCTTAGGTTCCAAAACCCTCAGTGTGGACAAAGGGAATTGTATCTTGTTTTCAAAATGAGAGACTTATTAGTTTAATAAGCCTCAACTTCACAATTCTGTTTAAATATCAGAGTTGTTTGTTGGTTTTTGTTTTTTTTTTTAATTGATCATTGTACTCCTATGGGAATTCAGAATCTTATCTCAAGAAACCACAGTTGCATGGTTACTGTAACTGGTAACTGTAGTGTGTTGAACAACTATTTTCTTTTCTTTCTCTTTTTCTTTTTCCAGAGCTGGGGTTGTCAGACGCTCAAATACCAGCCCAATGGGCTTCATGAAGATGGGCTCCTGTTCTCCAGTACCAGCTGATGCTGTGCAGGGTGTTGGGCGCAGGTTATCCACGGGGTCTTCGAGGCCATATTCTCCTTCACCACTAGGTAAGCTGCAGTTCTAATTCTTACTCATTCTCAGTAATTAGCAAGGATTTAGCTGAAGCAGTAATTCAGAAAACAAATTCCTGTTTAAAACTTCAACTGAAATTTGTCCAAATAGATTATAGAATCACGTAGATTGGGAAAGACTTTCAAGATAGTAGAATCCAACATTGGCCTGACCTACCAGATCACATCCCTTACGTCCACATCCACGTCTCTTAAACATCTCCATGGCTGGGGCTCTGCCACTTCCCTATACAGCCCATTCCCATGTTTGATCACCCACTCCTTGAAGAAATAAGTAGGTGAAGAGTAAAGCATAAATTCACATTTTGATTTTATTTACTTAGTTGGAACTATACCTGAGCAGCTAAGCCACTGTTGTTGCGGACAGCTTCAAGGTCATGAGTCCAGGAGCAGAAACTTCTCAGGTGAGAGACTTTGGACAATAACACAACCAGTACAGTTTTGATTAAACCTTCCACAGAGTTTCATGAAAAAGGAGGGGCAGCATTACATTAGTGTGGGTTAATGGGAGGCATTTGGTAAGCTGTGCACTGAGATTCTGTAGAAACAGCCTGGGTTTGGCTGTGTCAGGACTCGTTTCTCCGTATTTAATTGCCTGCACAATCAGAAGTTTGTTGTTTTGTTTTTTACCCAAGTTGAATAGCAACTCTAACACCTGTCTTTAACAAGGGATGAGATGGGATAGATGAGATTATAATGAATGGTCTGGACACGTTTCTCAGAATCTGATTTTGATAGACCAGCGTTTTCATGCCAGCACTCAAAAAAGGGAAGAACTACCAGTGTGCAGTGTGTGGCATGTTCTCATCACTCTCTTAGGGAATTGCCAGGAATCTGATGTTAATATTGCTAAGCTTTCAGTAAGCTTTGCAAGTCATAAATTGTTCCAGTGCACCAGGAGGCAGCAGCAGGGGTGGGAGAGTATTTTTTACTGTACACACAACTTAGATGCAAGCTCTTCTTTGTCCAGAATACCAGCTACACTCTTTATTTTGACCTTTTAGGGAAGTGTTTAAACTACAATGCGTGTTATTTTTCCTGCTTTAATGCTTCTCAAAATTCTCTGGAGGTAATAACCTTCATTTCTTGGAGTTTATATTTTAGATATCTGGACATTAAATAAGTTTTATGATGTCTTAAAAATGTCCCTCATAACTGTTATGCTGCTGGCAATCTCAACAAAAGACTAGGAATGAGTAAAACCTCAGATTTGAAATAGTCTCTTGTATTTTAAAAGAAAAATAAAAAAGCTGAGGAGAAAATGAAGGGAAAACAAAGCTGTGTGAGCTCCTCTTTTGTTCAGTCTTTTTGGGATAACACTGTTTTGTGGCTCTAGGAGTATTTAATGTTTCATTTCTCTGTCTCCTGCAATCTATTCCTATTTGATTTTATTGTTTCTTAATTTCCAGTGACTGCAGTGTTATTTCTGCTTGTAAAATACCACAAATGGCAGCACATCTGCTTTTCAGCATTTAAATGGGTAAATTGACTTTGCTTCAGGGTGAAGTGAGATCATCTGTACAGAGATTTTCTAGGGACTGAAGATGTCTGTCTTAATGCAGCTTCTGAACTAATTGAGTTACCCTTTGCTGCTGCCAGTGGCAGCAGAGGAGAGTTTGAATTCAGAAGCCTACCCAGTGGTGGGAATGACACTGGAACAGCAACCAGGGAAATTTAAGGCTGCTTTTTGAGATAAAGCTGAATTTAGTGCTGTGGGACAGACAAGCAGGCTGATTTCAATGGAGTTGAAATTTCATGAGTATAGAATTTAGGGGATTTAGTGAGGAGTAGACTGGAATACTCTGCTGGAGCTTCAGGCAGAAGGTCTGTTCTAAAGCACATTGTTTAAATGGAGAGGAATGCAATCAAAATGAAATGGCTTATATTCAAAGTCTAACTACCAAGAGCATAAGCTTAAGAAGGTTGCAGAATGTGGCTTAGCAGCTGGGCACTTTACTGAGCAAACTGCAAGAAGTTGGACATTGGCTCCACTTCACAAATATACGCTTGAAGAACAATCTTGGAAAATTGCCTTGGCCAGCTGCTGAGAATTTTGCATACTAAGTCATGGTGCAGCCTAGGAACAAATAGAACGGCGTAAGCTTTGCCATTTCTTTTTAAGGCAAATGGGATTTTTAGCACTTTGTTCTTTGGGGTTACAGTGGTATACATTTTATCTGGAAAGCTGTGGCCACAGGACTGAAGTCTTATGTATTGTTTGAAACTGCACCGTTCCTCTTCTTGAAACTTAAAAATACCACATGGAAGATACAAATTTTAATCAAATATTGGATTTTTTATATTGAAAGTGGAAGAGAACCTTCTGGGTAGGTGAGATGTTCATAGGAGTGTTTCCTTACGGTCCTCTGCTTACAGATTACAGCTCTTCCATTTCAATTTGCTTTACGGGAAACTTTGCATTCATACTGAAGTGTGGACTTTCTTTGTACATGGTGAACTTTTGAAAAACATCTGACAACCTAAAAATAAATGGCTGCCCTAATAATGATCCTAAAATGTTTCATTTGAATAACTTGTTTATTAAGGTTTTTGTTTTTTAATACCTACTTTTCTCACAGAAACTGTGAGGGAAGCAGCCTTTTGTGTCTGCAGATCAAATTATTACAAACAAAAAAAGTCATTAACACACAACTTTGTATTCACATGCTGTTTACAGGAATGCAATTCCAATACTTGAAAACCTCTTTTCAATTTAGAGTCCTGGTGGCTGTGCTTGAAATTTTAGCATTGGTTATGCCATTCCTTCTGAATCCAACCACTTTATATGTCTTGGAGTAGGTTGCCAGAAGTAGTGCAGCTGCCAGTACAGCTGTCACCCTGCAATCTTGCCTCTTTGGCAGCTTGAATGTGAGTGTCATCTCATCAAGTGTATGTAGCCTCAGCCCGTATAGTCAACAGGATAAATCCATCCTGTTTGCCATTTAGCGAGCTGATAATCAAACACGTATCTCAGTAGTGCATCCTTATCTCCTTTCAGATTAATGATGCTCTCTAGTGTTTTGAGTTTCGTTGATACATTTCCAAGCACTGCGCGTAGAAATCTTTTTCACTGCTTTTCATCCCTACAGGTTCTCCAATACCACCATCTCAGTCTCCACAGTCACTTCTGATGGGAGCTAGGTTGCAAAGTGCACCTACTCTCACGGATATTTACCAGAACAAGCAGAAGCTCAGAAAGCAACATTCAGACCCAGTGTGCCCATCCTATGCTGGGTATGGATACAGTCATTCTCCACAACCAAGTAGGCCAGGTAGCCTGGGAACATCACCCACCAAGCACATGGGGTCATCACCGAGGAGTTCAGACTGGCTGTTCAAAACTCCTTTACCAACAATCATTGGTTCTCCTACTAAGGTAGGTTGAGTTTACCACTGTTTGCAAAATGTGAAGTGGTAACACGTTGTCTGAAACCATTCCCAAGAATATCTTGAGGTGCAAATCTTGTGTTTCTTGTTGTTGGTTTTGTTTATTTCTAATATATTCTTTTTCTTTGTTTTTTTAATTCTTTAAGGCAACAGCTCCCTTCAAAATACCTAAAACACAAGCATCCTCAAATTTGCTGGCCCTGGCAAATCGCCAGGGATCTGTAGATGCTCCTTTGCAGCCTAAAGACATCACTGAACCAAGGGACTTTGCACACTTTCACTCGACACAAGGAAGTGACAAGCATGCAGGAGAGCAGCACAGTAAAGCTACGTTTGGCAGGTAGGCATTGCAGTATTTATGACCTGGAAAGTTGAGTAAATAATTTGACAGAAGAATGTACGTTGCACACAGCCATTTGGAGGGGTGGAGCATGCAAAAAATGAGCTGTGAGGAGATACTGGTGTTTAGTATATACAACAAGCTTTTTGTACTGTGTATAAACGTTGCAGAGACTTCCTGAAGCACTTTGTGTTGTTGTCTGATGTTGTTATCTAGTTCCTTTTTGTTTTGATTATCTGACTGTGCAAGTCTCACCGACTCTCTGAAGCCTGTTTGATTTTCCTTTGAACATCTAGATGGCAAAACTTGCAGTATTCATTTTTAAGATGAAAGGGTTCATCTATAGTTAGCTCTGTCTCAGTATGTCCATGATGAACAGTGAGGTTTCCAGTCATTTTGTACTTGTGTTGAAAGCTTCTCTGTAATAAATATTAAGAATCTGCTGCAAATTAGGAACATTTTGCCCTAAATTTTTATTGAATGTGTGTGGGTTTTTTTCTGTCTAGATCTGTTAGTACTGGGAAGCTCTCAGATCAACAGGTAAAGACTGCCCTTGGTGGCCAGTTATACCAAGGCAGTACAGACAGCCTGAATACAGAGCGACCAATGGATACAGGTAAGGAACAGATGGATGTGTTTAAGTGGTCCATATATACTATAGCTTTTTTCAGCCAACCAGATAGACTTCTGCTTCCAACTTCAGTTGTTGGTTGAGACACTTAAGCTTTTTTTATTATTATTTTCCTTAAGGAGATATGTTCTTTAATATAACTTTTAAAATAAGTGAGACAAGAAAGCATCAATTTCTGTGATAAATAAGAAATATTGCTGCTTCCTGGAGTGGCTAGAGGTTTTGTTTTTTCAGTACATTTGTGGCTGTTTCACTTCCTAATTCCAACTTGTTTTCGTCTGAAAGCCAGCTTATGTAATTCTGGTTCTTTTTTCTTTACTTTTTTTTTTTTTTTTTTACCTTCTTCTTTCTCCCCACAAACAGCTAATACCTTTCCACAAATGGCCAACAGGAGATCTGGGTTTGATGTAAGAAGTTCTGCAGACGGGGCTAGTCTTTAGGCCAGCCAAACCTGTCTTTAGAATTTTTCTCTTGCAGCTTTTGCTGCAGGACTGATGTCACTCAGCTTGTTTTATTTGCTAACCTATGTGATTGCATGTAATAGGGACTAATTTCTGGAAATCTTCTCTTCCAGCCCCAGCAGGGGCCTATGGCATCACAGTGGCACCTCCTTCCATGGGAAGTGGGGCAAGTTCTCGGGCTGTCATGTTTACTGTTGGGTCCCCTCCAAGCAGTGCCACCCCTCCTACCTGCACCCATATGGTCCTCAGAACAAGAACCACCTCAGGTAAGTCCTCCTGCTGATGGCTGTTGTCAGTGTTCAGACTTGCCCATCCCCTGGGGGCAGTAACCTGCTTACTGCCTTGCGCAGTGGGTCCTCTGGGCCAGGCAAAAAAACAAAAAGCATTCTGCAAAAGCTGAGATGCACCTTAGATTTCTTCTGCCTTTTGTCTCCTAAAAAGAGGGCCAGAGGCACCAGTTTACCATGCAGCAGTGCGTAACATCTGGAGTGCGCTGTTTTGCTCCCCTATAGGGGTTTTAACTGCATTTATGGCAAAAGTGGAGAGAAGTTATTAGACTTCTGATTCTGCATTTTTGCCCGCTGCAGTATGTTATAGTAGAAGCAAGATGAAAGATGTGTGAGCTGACTTCATCTCAGCATGTTGGCTATATTGTCAAATAGCAAAGATCTCAAGGTAGAGGCCAGAATCCGCTCAGGATGAGCAGGACTCTATATTTGCAGCAGTGTGCTTTCATAAATTGTAAGAAAACCTTTGTACTATTGGACTGCCTGCCTTGGAATCCTTGACAGCTGATATTCCAGAATCCATTTTATAAATCATCTCTGTACGTTAAAAAGCATAGCCCTTGCATTCTCTACAGAGTGATGCAAGGAACAACAAAGAGAGCCTCCGAAGAGCGAATCTGTGGTGCCTACTGATTTGTCATTTGCTATCATCTGCAGCCCCAGAGCTGCAAGGTGGAACAACCTATTGGACTGAATGTGTGTGTGTTATTTTTCCTTGTAGTTGGATCAAACAGTTCTGGAGGGTCTCTCTGCTCTACTAGTGGCCGTGTATATATGGGCTCGCCTCCTGGTATTTATATGGGTTCTTCTCCTCCGGGAGCCGAGGCAGCTCCAAGTCTGAAGTACATGCCTTATGGTACTTCGCCTCCCAGCTTAGAGGGCTTTATCACTTTTGAAGCTCCTGAATTGCCTGAGGAAACTTTAATGGAGGTATAGAAAAACAATTTAATGTCTTATAATATAAAATGCTGATAAAACAGAGACGTGGTAAAAACACGACTGCTCAGTGTGCTTGGTAGCTGCTGCTTCTCTATCTCAGATACTCCTCTTTGAAATCTGGAAAATACTCCTGTGTCAATTGTGACTATTTCTCTTTGGTAGTTATTCCTGGCATTTCTTGTATTTTAATAGGTAACCAAAGGAACATGACTGCTTTTGTTCACCAGAGCCTTCCAAAGAGGCCTCTGTTTTAATGCCAAGTCTCTGGATGTGGGTGCTGACAGAAGCAATGTCCCTCTGGGCGTTGTTCCTAACTGCTTCCTCACAGATGACGTTGCATCCTACTTGTGGGAAGAGTGTTCTGTTTTTCATTTTTATTTTTTTTATGAGTGGTGGAATGTTGCTTTGAAAACACACTTTGGTGTGGTGTTTCACCAGGATGCTCTCCTTGATCTATAAATTTCTTAGGGCAGATCGCTGTTCTATTTTCTCATTCACATCTTGCTGGAAAGTGTTTGGGTTCTTACCACATCCGTATTTTATAATATGAATGTTTGACAATGCACTGTATTCTTCCCACAGACAGAGTTTAAAATGTATTTAGACCTGCACTGCTCATGAAAAGACGATAAATATCGCTGAGATGCGTTTGTTTTGTTTTGCAGGTTGATTTTTTTTTTTTAAACAATGTAGTGTCTGTTTTAGATGTCAGTAAACAGTGAGTTGTTGGCTCCAATTTGTTTGGTTTAAGTGGGAAATTTGGCAACAGACACTTTTTAGTACAATATAATTCTAGATCTAACTGTAGAGTGAAGCAGATAATTAAGAAGCTGCAGATCAGTTCTCTTATAGGTATCAAGTCTGTTGTATAATAAAAGCCAAATGTTCCTTCTGGCTTCTCACACAAATGCTGAGCATACTTCTGGGCTGCTGATAATACAATAACAAGTAATACATCCCACTTGTGATTTTCTTAGTTGCTCAAGTTTCAAGAAACACAGAACTCCATGTCCCAGTTTCTCTGGCTTTTTTTGAAAGACTCTGAAGTATAAGCTCCAGTATCTTGAAATCATTAACAAAGAAAGAACAAATTAGTATCTGTTGATGGTTTTGGACTCATTTGATTCTGAAATCTCTACTGCTGACTGTTATTTCTGCATAGAATTAACATACCAAAAGAACCTCAAGTGGTTAAAAAGAGTTCTAAGTGTACTTACTTGCCTTATGACTTAGAATGGTTAAACTGCTGTCTTGTTTCCTTTTGACAGAGAGAACATACAGATACCCTGCGTCATCTAAACATGATGCTGACATTCACAGAATGTGTTCTGGATCTGACAGCATTACGGGGAGGAAACCCAGACCTGTGTACTTCTGCAGTGTCACTGTACCAAATCCAAGAGAGCGTAGTTGTTGATCAGATCAGCCAGCTAAGCAAAGAGTGGGGGTAAGTGTGTGATCAAAAAGTAGCAGAATTAGTGAATATCAGACAAAAAATGCATTTGGACAAACTGTGCCTTCTTTTTCATTGGAGCTATTGATTTTGTAGGAATGCACTTTTAGCAACTGAAAGCACATTAGAAGTATATAGCAAAGGATACATTTGCTAGCATATAATTGAGAAAACTCTGTTTTCTGATCTACCACAAAACTGGGGGAAGTGATGAGGATTTGCAGGTTTGTGGTGCAGTGTAGTTCACTTCTGAATCTGGAAATACAAGTACCATCTCATTTGAAGATCTGAGCCCTCTGTGGTCCTGCTGACCAGGCTGAAACAGCTGCACTGAAGTGAAGGCTGAAAAGAGAAAAGTCGTGTTCAACCTTGACCTTAAATCAGTGTAGCCAGTCAGCCCTAAAGCAAACTCAAAAACAAGGAGAGACAGGAGAAATTTGAAGTGGTCGGAAAGGGCAGTTCCACTTCCTGCCTTCTTCCTGGCAAAAAAAAAAAAAAGGTATGTAGTATGTACACCCTGCAAAGTGTGTTTGCTTTTCACAGCTGTGAGAATTCCATGGGCATAGGAAATGACACTGCAAGAAAAATATACCCAGTTGTTTGTGGTACAGCATTGACTTCAAGCAGTCGGCCACCGCAGAGAAGTGTTCCTTTTAAAAATGCCTACATTAAAGCAGATGTACTCTCAACCAGTGACAGGGGGTTTGTGGAGGGGAAGGAGAGGTGAAGGTGCATTTTCAACGTCTTCCTTTTCTGCTGCTGCTGAGTCCTGTGTAGGATAAAGATAAAGAATGGAGACTGCCTGAAGTTTGAATGTGTTTAAGGAAGGGTTTTTTTAATACATAATTATTCTTATTTCCCTCCAGACAAGTAGAGCAGCTTGTGTTATATATGAAAGCAGCCCAGTTACTGGCATCTTCTCTGCATCTTGCCAAAGCACAGGTCAAATCGGGGAAACTGAACCCATCCACTGCTGTTAAGCAAGGTTGGTGCAGCATAACCTCGTGTGCTTTGCTTGAGAATTTTCTTCAGTGATACATCACTCAAAAAGCTTAAGTTGCATCATTTTTGTTTTTCTTCTATACAAGAGAACTGTGGGATATGTACAGTTGCACAATTCTGGTAGTAAACAGATACAGCTTGCAACTGTTAAGAAATAGACAGTTATTAACTTGACAAGGAAATGGTTTGTTATATTCTTCATTAATAGAAATGGCAGACTAAATAAATGTTGTGGTAAGTTTAAACAGATGAACTTTGCCTAGTGCTTAAGCAAGCTGAACTCAAACTATGCTTTTGGCTTGGGCATTTCTTTTATTAATTTCTTTCAATTTTTTTTTCCAGTTGTGAAAAGCCTCAATGAGAGATACAAATTCTGTATTGGTATGTGCAAGAAACTGACTGAAAAGCTGAATCGTTTCTTTTCGGACAAGCAAAGGTTCATTGATGAAATCAACAGTGTAACTGCAGAGAAACTCATCTACAGTTGTGCTGTAGAAATGGTAAGTGACTCCTTTTACCTAAAGAATAGGATGTTGAGATTAATAGTACATTGCTTCCTTTTCTCACATACTGCTCTGACGTAATCAGAAAATAGAATGCATGTTTCCAGATTACTCTTTGTGGTTATTTTTGTTAGTCTTTCACTTTCCTTCTTGCCCTCCCTTAACTGTGGCTAAAGTTCCTGGCAGATTCTGTTCCTCAGGGACCTTTCCTATACATCAGCACATTTGGTACATAAACACTAGGAAACAGAGCCATGCAGTCTCTAAAAGCATACCCTCTGTGAATGCATCATGCAGTGAGGCTTAATGAAGCACAGAAACAACAGGAGTAGCTTCCTCAATCTACTAAGTCAGTTTAAAGAACGTTTGTCTTGTCCCTACAAAGCAAAGACAGTAGCAAACATGTAAAAGGATTTGTGTGTGTGTGTGTGATCAAGAAACTTTCTACCTGCCATGAAGCAGATGCAGTGAGTTTAGAGAATACTTCATCTAAAAAAGGAGTTAAGTCTTTTTTTAATACAGACATCACACAAAAAGTACTGGCAAATGTTGTGCTTAACCCTGACAATGGTGTGATCTTGCACAATTGATTTGTCTTCTTTACAAGAGAATGTAGGTAATAGAACAAGCACAACTATTCATATGTTGTCACAATTTCAAAGTATGTTCTAACATATATAACCACAAGATCAAAAAGTACTTTTACAACTTTGCAGAATCTCCTTTGCTAATACTGCGTGTGGGCTCTGTTCTCTCAGGTTTTGTTGTCTTACTGTCATAAAAGCAGATCATCTTATTTTAGGCTTAAAAATAGTCTGTGATGACACTGTAATGTGATCCATTTTGAATTTATCATTTCAGTATTTGCCTAAAGCAATTTATGTAACAATCTACTGAATGATTCTAGGTTCAGTCGGCAGCTCTAGATGAGATGTTTCAGCAAACTGAAGATATCACATATCGATACCACAAGGCAGCCTTGCTGCTGGAAGGACTGACTAAAATACTGCAAGACCCTGCAGATATAGAAAATGTGCACAAGTGTAAGTTTAAGCTGAATTATTGAAAATGAAATGGAATTATGAAATAACACTGAATTTGTGATTATTTTTTTATCATTCTGTTTTCAGATAAATCTAGCATTGAGCGAAGGCTTTCTGCACTCTGCTACAGCACAGTGGCTGTATATGAGCAGTAGAAATATCCCAAGGACCAGATGGTGTGAGCATAAGGGACCACATCAGTGATAATGCACTTTTTTCACTACGGTTTAATTGTTGTCCTCGTTCTGCCCCACGTGGAAAGTGATTCTTACATTTCTGTGGTGACTACCAAAGAAGCAGCAGCTTATTCAAAGAGGAGAAATTCCAAAAGTACATTTGTAGAAAACCTGCCTTACAGATCCAGCAGCTCCTTTTTTCTTCCTAGCAACAGGATTAAAAAGAATCCGTCTTCACATTTCAAACTGATCCTTGTACACGTGCTTTGACTTGAATGATCAGGGGTTTTTTTTCCTCATGAGGTCTGTAGAGAGTGGATCCTTCTGCATCAGGTACATAAAGATGTCTCCCTCAGAAGGCTCCATCAAGTGTTTGTGAAAATGTTTTTAAGTTGTCAGTATGATGTGGCCAAGTGAATTTGGGAAACCTTAACCATGTGCAAGAGCTGGTTGAAGCTTTTGGGGCTGAGCTGGCTTGTAGCTGAGCTGGCGTGTTGGCTCAGCTTGTCATATGAAGGGATGATGAGAAAGCTCTTTTACATGGGGGAAAACGGTAATGGAAGAAACTGAGCTCCATCTTTGCAAAATCCCCAGTGGGTTTTCAGCTGATGTGGATACGATTTGAAGATCTTCTTCCAAAACACTTTATTTTGCACTAATTTACTAAAGCAACTGTATATTCATTTTTGAAGAACTATACTAAAAAAAAAAATAAAAGAGAGAAGGCACAATGGACTTGGCTGAATTTCGTGTACATAAAATTCTTTTCAGGATTTCAAATGTAGCTTCTAGAAGACTTTCAAACAAACTGTAAAAACTTGTATTCATGTGAACCTTTCCATTTTATACCTATTTGTCTAATACTTGAGTAACTACCGCTCTGAACTTTTACAGTAATAGCAATGTTGAGTTGCTGGTTGTTTGCTTTTTATATAGATTTGGTTGCATCTTTTGTGCATGCAATTATGTGCATTAATGCCTGCAGTCTCTAGGGGTGTAACGACTCTCTAGTTTTGTTTCTTGGGCAGTATTACAATAAATACTGTAAACTGGGAGGTTCTGCGAGGAACCACACGAAAACAAAGTAATGTTGGAGTTTGAGATGCTGATTAATTGATGTAGAGTATCTACATTGTGTGTGTGTGTGTGAAAAATCAGGATTACTTTGTGTGCATTTTGAGGGAGAGGTGGGAAGCTTCATTTAGCCTTATAGGCATTATCATTTCAAGCATCCCATGAGATTATCAGGACAGTGATTTGCAAAGCATTTAGGCAGATCAGCTTCTCTGGAAATGGTTCCTGTAATTCATTTCTGGGACTTTTTTGTTACTCAACTGCTCGAATACTTGAATAAACCATTCTCCAGGACAAAATCATTTTAATCCTCTTAAATGCAGTGGTCTGAACTATTTGACAAAGTTGTACAGGGCTTACACATCAAAATATCTTTCAGTGTTCGGATAACCATGTGTTTCCTTTTCTTTGACAGAGTAATGTACTTTTTACCTTATTTATCTGTATGAAATTCCAACAGTTAATTTGAAAGTGTTTGTTTATATAATGTTTGTATTTTTAGGTCTTTAATACAGTGTTTCTACCTCTCCTTTGTAATTGCATGCATTATTCTTGAAATTAGGTAATAACTCACTGAACTGTTGTGTAATAGCCTTTTTATTATGGCCTGTATAAATGTATATTAAGGTAAAATAAATACTGACACTAGAAGTGTTTCTATGGTAAAAATGAGTTTGTGTTTCTCTGTGACAAAGATCAGTGGTGTTAAATCAATCACTGAATGTTCTCTTGCCTCAGCAGTTGGATGTACCATCGGGGCTGGATGGGGCAATGTGTTTCATTATGTCTGGAGAGCTCTGGGACAAGGGGTCCCCAGTTCTGTTTTCGGTTGCTTTAGGAAAACAGCAGGGAATGCGAATGATATGTCTGAATGTGAATTGAGGAACAAAGCAAAGTCATGCCTGGGAGATAGGCTGCTTGTCCCAAAAACTCAGTTTTCTGTTGGTGTTCTTTCTACCCTCAGGATTCAAGCTTCCTTCTTCCATTCCTGCCAGTAAGACCACAGGTGCACAGGATGAGACTACAGGATGAGAAGGGCTGTGTTCTCTTGCTGCCTTCATGGGGAGACCAATGCTCACGGCCTGTCTTTCTGCATAAACTCAATCCACCAAGATCCTGAAGCTGCCCTCTGTCTTCAGCTCTCCATACTGAACAGCAAGTGCTTTTTTTTTCTACCACGTGTTTTTCTTTCAGCCTCTTGGAAGCTAGAATTGGAAAGGAGATACTTGGTGCAGTGCTTTCCTTGGTCAACCTTAGCATCTACACAGGAGCACCATATTCTTCTGTACTTCCACATATTCACTTTCTCCATAGTGTATAATGTCAACTTAGGGATCTAAAATGTATTTGGATTCTGACATTTACTGCTTTTTATATGGAAGCAGTTGAATTTCTCAGCCCTTCTTTTGAGAGGATAAAATCCAGTTAATTTAACTTGCAGCTAATACATTAAGAAATGATTTTCATGTGAGCTGTTGGTCCTGAGGCTCTTGCTGCTCTTGCTGCTCTTGTACAGCAACATCAAGGTATTTCCATTGTCACCTATGGGTCCAGAGGCAGTCGTTGTGATCCTGATGTCACAACGCTGTGCAGTGTGCAGCCCAACTGCACTGAAAGGAGAAGTAGATCAAGGAAAGCTGATTGCAGCTGCTTGCATCATGTTGTGGCTTTAAATTTCAGCCAGGCTGGCCTGTGACTTGTCTTTTTTGACTCCTGCTTCCTCTCCTGTTTTTGTTTGTTTGTTTGTTCTTTCTTAACTGTGATCCTTTGACTTTTTCTTTCATCTGCTCTGAACCCTGCTTGCTGCTGCCTTTTTTCACTGCCCATGATGCCCTGCACTTCCCTGCCCAACTCGAGCTACAGCCTTGACTCTGGCTCTTTAATAGGTGCACACTTAGCTCCTCCTTTCTGCAGATCAGTGAAGTATATCTTAGTAACACCTTGGAATCACTTGGAGCTCAGTCTGACGAACTGTTGGCAATGCTGCTTTGGACAAACACCTTTTGAAAAGCCCTTTGTATGTTGCTGGCTCCCCCCTCCTCTGCGGCTGAAAGCAAACTAAATGCCAGTGGTGCTGTTGAGTCCTGTTGCAGTCTTTGTGCCAATCAGTTTCATTGTTTCTTTGTGTCCCTTTCACATTTTCCACGCCCCAGCTATGTCTACAATGCAGCCCACAGACCATGGCTTTGTACTAGAAAGTATCTTGTTCTTGCAACTGTGAAATCAGCAACAGCTTACACAAACAAGCAATGCCATAAATGAACTGAGCTGCGTTTATTCTCATAGGTTGCTTAAAGCTACTCCCTGTTGTTAATCTTCTGTAGCTGCTTTTTCTGATGGAGTGCTGTTTGGGTTTCTATGTCTGCCTGTCTTGTGCCTCTGGCTGTGGATTTTGTCACTTTTTGTACAACACTTGGAGCTGTACGTGGACTAGGCAGATATTTAAGCAGAAGTTGAGCATTGCCAGCTTTGCTTGGTCGTGTCAGCACGCTTGCATGAGCTAATGAAACATTTATTGATTAGCTGTGTCATTCTGTGGACTCTTGAAACGAGATACTGCATAGCTTATCTTCTAAACGAAATTCCTTCTTCACCAGGCTCCGCTGAGTGCTTTGTGAGCAGGGCAAGGAGCAGCACAAAGACATGTTGTCCAAGCCTAGCGCAGGGTAGGAGTCTGTCACCGTGGTGCCTTGCTATAATTGACTCCAGGAGAGAAGAAGGAGCAGGAGGCTGCTGCAGTGGAGGGAGGAAGGGGAGGGGGGGAGGGTCTGAAGCTTCGGTTTCTCAGTAAAATGTCTTCTGCTGCTTTACATAAAGCCCTACGGATTAGGCAGCCCCCAGCACTGCTTACCTTCTGATTCTTCTGGAGTTAATTACTTTCTCCATAAATAGTTCCCTCCTTTATTGTTTCTTAGTGACTGAATAAAAATAGAAGATGCTGTCAGCTCCAAGGCGTGAGGAGCGCGCTGCAGACCACGCGTTGCGCTGAGTGCTGCCTGCAGGGTTTCTTCCATCTCTCTCCAGACCTCAGGCTTCTCTGAAATCCATGCATCTCACCCAGCTGCTCCAGGGAGGCTCGATTGATATTTTGCAACGCTGAGAGAACGCTCTCAGCTCGTCTTCTGACCATAACTGGCTGAATGATGGCCCTGACAAGGACTAAAGAATGGCATCACACTTCTGCTCTTTCCTGCCAATACAGAGGAGCCTTAAGACCAAGTTTCTGCAAAAGCATGGCACAAGACAAACCTGGATGAGATGAGAAGAGGGACGTTTGCCTGCTACGTCTGATGCCAAGTGGAATGGAAATGCTCAGGCTGGAGGGTGAGATTTCTACATGCAGAAGAGCAGACTGGAATACGGCCATGGTGGAAAAGAGAGGTAGGTAACAGCCTCCCTGATCTTGCAAGCATCCCCCTGGGGGTGTGCTGATTGCAGAGGGTGAGTTGCGTCAGTGCTTCCCAGGGCACAGTGTATTACCCCACTCTGAGAGTTCAAAGACTTTTACCCGAGTTGCAGCAGCATTAACTCCTTATCTCATTTTTGTTGGACTTTCAGACAGTGTGGCATGTGGCAGAGTTTGTCTCACCTCTGTGCAGGGATGCTAACAGGAGCAAGGCAAGCATGTTTCCATCAGGTGATTCTCCTATAGGGAAAGTTCCCACTTTCTCTGCTTGTGTCCTTGTGAGTGCAAACCCAGCTCCTTTCCATGTATCAGTGCGAGGGCTCCATGGAGCTCAGCCTGTTTTTCTCCCACATAATGCCTCCTGCACGCAAGTATTGCCAGATGCTCTTGTCATTCCTTTCCGCAGCAGACTGTTTACAGCTGAGATTTGTGCAATAGCTTGTGCAACGTCCCCGTGCTGGATGGGCTACAGCAGCGCTGTTTGCGGAGCCAACCGGCATTGGGGGAGGCTGCAGAAGGGAGCGGCTGCGGGTTCAGCTGGGCATGGGTTTGGCTGAGCAGCATTTGCACTGTGGCCCCTGTAGGCGTGTCAGATACGCGGCTTGTGGAGCTGCTGGGTCTGAAATGGGAACATCATTTCCAAATAAATCCCCTTGCGTTTCTCAGAGGAACAAGTTGAGGCAGGACCAATTAACTGGAATAAACCCAGCCTCGTCTCAATTCCCTTCCCTTTCTGCCCCGCGTTTCCCACACGAGTGCTGTACTGGGCTTAACCTGGCCGTCCTCGTCACCGTGCGCAGTTCTACACCACCTCACCAGGGCAGCAGAGCAGGGAGGTGAAGGCCGCCCCGCGGCATTGCCCTGCTCCGATAAGGAAGCGCGGTTGGAATTTGCCCCCCGGTCCGGCGCACCGAGAGCTCAGCCCGCACCTGGCTCACGGCTCAGGGCCGGCTGCGCTGCTGCTGCCGGACAGAAGCGAAGGCAGCAAACCCTCACGGTGAGACCCAAGGTACGGCGCCGGCATCGCTCTGCTCCGTTCGTTTTTTTAGGGTCCGGTTCGTTCCTATTTTCGCTCTTCCTTCTCCCCGCGCGCCCCCCGCTCCATCAGCTGGGAGGTGGTGCGTGGCGCTGTCACGTGACCGGAAGGCGGAAGCGGCCGCGCTGAGGTGAGTGGGGCGCGGACGGGCCGGGGTCGGTGGGGCGGGAACCCCCCCGGTCCTGAGGGGCCGTCCGGGCCCGGCACGGCCCGCTGCTCCTCGCTGTGCGCCGCGCGTTTCTCTTCGGAACTTTTCCGTATATCGAGCGTGGCCAATTCTCTAAACTTTCGCCAAGACTCCTGACTGAGCGCTGAGCGGTGATGGGGAGGATGGCGGAGGTCGTGGGCCGGGCGAGAGCCGCCTTCAGCTCGGGTCGGAGCCGGCCGCTGGAGTTCAGGCTGCAGCAGCTGAGGAACCTGCAGCGGATGGTGCAGGAGAAGGAGCGGGAAATCCTGGCGGCCATCGGGGCGGATCTGCACAAGGTTTGGGGTTCGGAGCCGTCGTTTGTCCCTCACGGGGCGGGGAGGCCCAGAGCTGTGCGAGCCCCGAGGGACACGGAGCTCGTGCTGGGGGCAGGGTTGGGGCCGGGCCCGCTTTAAGGTTCCCTCCGACCCAGGTTTCCCCTATCGGGGGGAGGGAGCTGGGCGCCTTTCCAGCCGTCCCCGTTCCGTGCCGTTGCAGTGCGGTCACAACGCCTACAGCCACGAGATCATGGGGGTGCTGGGGGAGCTGGCCCTGACTGTGGAGAAGCTGCCTTCGTGGGCGGCTCCTCGGCCGGTGAAAAAGAACCTCCTGACGCTCCGGGACGAGGCGTACGTCAACCCCGAGCCGCTGGGGGTGGTGCTGGTGAT